CCCCAGGAAGCAGGCAATGTTAAACCACTTCCAAAACACCTTATCAAGAAACTTGTCAAGGGAATGACCAGGAGTCAACACTGACTCACATAGACACAAATGTCCTTTATGTGCAAACACAGGAGAAACAAAAGAAACAAAATTAGGCAAATAAGCAAACACTTTTTCTTACATGCAAAATTTTAACCATCTCTTTCAAAATCAATTTTTTTTAAAAAAGATTCCTCAGTACTGCATAGGTATCATTCTCTGGTTTGATTAACCAATGTTTTATAATCCATTCCCTATACAATAAACAGAATTTCAATACCACTGTCACAGAAGATCTGAAAAATGTAAATTGGGCAAAGCAGTATGACGGAACATAAAAGACTTCAAAAGGAAATGGGCTTTAATTTCCATCAACAATACCATGGCCATCTACAGATTTCCAAATTGAATTATTTCAGCAATTTACATATGGCCATATTAAGCATTCTGTTTATTACAAATCAAAGACCAAACTTCAGCCACCCAGCAAGTCAGTTTCTCTTTAGGAAAAAAAAGCAGGATAACACAATTGTTTTTAATCAAATAGATCAACAATATTTGATTACAAGGCACATAATATAATAACTGTTTCAAAATTATGCCATGTATAACTTTTTCATTATATTCTGTCCATATCACAGAATAGATAATGGGTTCAGAAAAAATAAAATTACAGGGAAGGAACTCTTCATACTGATTAATATAAACATTCTCCCAAACTCAAAATGTTAGTGGAAGGTTGTTTATGTAAATGGTGAAACAGTAATGCCCCCAAAATTTTGAAAATAGGAATTTGTTCTTAAGCTCTTTAGGAATTAAAATCGTTCCCTAGATACAACTTCCTTCAACCAAAAAATGCTTGATGTCTCTTTGGCTCTGGAATAAGCACAACAAATAGTTTTATTATTTAAAAAGTTTCAGACTCTTTTCAATCAGGGCTACGAATACAATGGAATTTGACTGGACAAAGTAAATTAAAAAAGAATAATAGAAAGTTCCCCTTTATTTCCTAGAAGTTACTTCTGAAATAATATTGCCTGAAAAAGAAATTCTACTAACAGGATGTTACAGATGAATCAATCACTGTGAACAATCATTACTTTGCTTATTAGAATGGAAAGATGTAAAGCAGGGCCTCTAAGGTCAATCTTAATGGTCATTTGAGTTCATGTGGCCAAAGATGGATTTACAGGTTAAAAAATATTATTTTGTGGGTGCCTTATAAATGGATTGTTGACTAATGCAGCTTCTTCAACATAAACATAAAATGATATACATTAATTCATTCAGTTATTCCAAAAAGAGACAGTAGACAGGTTGAGGCCTTCTAGGATACAAGGCTTATCACCCTGACCAGCAGCCATGCTGGCTACAGTTCATAAGCACTTTAGTCCAAAATATCTGGAAGATACTTCAATGGTTATTCCTAGACTTTGGGTGCAGCGGTTACATTGGTACCCTCTACTGATTTACACTAATACTTCTTCCTTGCAGTTTTATCTCACAACATATTTGTGTCTTTTAATTTAAAAACAATGTCTTTTTTTATGACCCTGTAGTCCCTATTGGCGACTGGATGGAGCTGAGCATTTACTGACCGGGTGCCCTTCCTAATGCCTACCTCGATTTTGCCGCAGATATTTTTTTCTTTGGGCTCTAGGAGAGAAACATCTGGTAAGATTGATCTCTCAACCTTTCAAGTGGGAGACTAGCGTCTTCACCACTAGGGCACCACATCACTAGATCTATATTTTTTAATATTAAATTATTATTCGTCATAACATTCTTGGTAACACAATTAAATGAAGAGTTTCTTAAAACATACCCTCTTCACTTATTTAACAACTGAAATTATCTTCCACATTCTCCCTCCACAAAAATCTCATCAACTTCGGATGTTACAATATTAAGCAGCATGATCTGAAAAATTCTACTTGCAATTTACTTAAACATAAATAGGATTCTCATAATTGTAGGCTCCAATAAAACAGATTATGATTGTGAGGTAAATTCTATTTGCATCCTAATGAATGCATGAAGAACTAATCAAACCTTACTAATGTGCTCAACCTGATTGGATATTCACAATGTACAGCTCAGGTGAAGAGGGGCATCAGCATTGTGGGAAATTAGACAATTCCTGTGTTAGCTTCATTTTAACAAACAGAACCAGAGCTTTTAATTCCCATTATAATGCTTGCCAAACAAGGGAAAGCCTTGAGTATCCTCTTATAATTTAGCTACATAATAAACAGGCACCATCTAGTGGCTGTTTCATCACATATAACATATATGCTTCAAAAAAAAAGTCATGCAACTTAAACTCATTGAGATGAATGAATTTGTTTTTATGAAACTCAAATGATTCATTAACTGATGTCTGGATTATATTATAACTAAAATACAGGCACAGATTAAAAATAAATAAAACTGTCAATCCTTCAGAAAAGCATAAGGATTTGGTTTATGTTGAGGTAATGTAAGAGAAGGTCACAAAATTCATAAAAATTCTTTATAGAAGCTATTTAGCTTGTTATACTTTCAAATCCAAATTTATTCACATTGATCAAGAAAACAACAAAAATTCCCCACAACAAATCATCACCACAAGGGACATTGATCTTGGGAAGGGCTTCCTGGCTTATCAGGAGATCGTGGTTAAAGTTATGTGACTTGCATCACTGCACTGCTGAACAGTAGCTTTCCAGGCATCCAGTATACAACTGTTCTATACTAGAAAAGGAATTTCTATCTGAATATAAAACCGAATCACTATTAGAGGAAAAATGTTCAATAGGTCAAGTAGGAATTTAAGAATTACAGCGATTAGGGTATACTTCAATATTTTACATTTTTTGCCCATGGTTGTGATGGAATCACCAGATGAAGGACAGGAGGCCCTGATATGAGGGAGTTAAAAGACATTCCAGTTTGGACTCTATGAGGGGTAGGAAGCGTTTGAAGTCAAGGCATTAGGAGCAGTGGTGGAATTCAATTTTTTTTACTACTGGTTCTGTGGGCGTGGTGTGGCTTGGTGGGCGTGGCAGGGGAAGGATACTGCAAAATCTCCATTCCCACCCCACTCCAAGGGAAAGATACTGCAAAATATCCATTCCCACCCCACTCCAGGGGAAGGATACTGCAAAATCCCCATTCCCTCCCCACTCCTGGGGCCAGCCAGAGATGGTATTTGCTGGTTCTCCGAACTACTCAAAATTTCCACTACTGGTTCTCTAGAACCTGTCAGAACCTGCTGAATAGCACCCCTGGTTAGGAGTATATCAGCCTTTTTTCAAGGGAAGGCATGCAGTCTGGTGATATTCTTATATGCTAATGTTCATCAATAAAGAAAGCTCTTTGACCATTTATTTGAGCTGTTCTAGTTGCTTGCACCTGATGTGGTCTGAAATTAGCCTATGAAAATGTACATCTTTATTATAGTCCAAAACTAAGGAAACTAATTTTTAATCCAGTTTCTAGTATTTACATTATTCCCACAAACATACAATCTGACAGTTTGGGCAGTTTTACTGAAAGAAGCACAAATCATCAATTTGGCTCCAAATATTTGCTCTGATTCCTAACAAAATATGCTGCAATCTACAAATTTGACAATAATTTTAATGTATTATATATTGTTTGAAAGGTTCTAATTAAATAACTCCTTACTACTGAATCTTCCAGTTCGGTAGACCTAGTCAAGAATCTGGAATAGATTGTTGGCTGGTTTCTATGCAGTGCTAGTTGTTTTTATTTCTCTGTATAAATTATAAACTTGGATTGTTGAATCCTCAGTTTGCACTCCTCCCTTCTGGTTGTGATCATAAAGTTGTAATACCGTGTTTCTCCAAAAAGACGACCCACTTTGAAAAGAAGCCTTGTCACGTTTTTGAGCACATGCGATCAAATTAAGCCCCACCCACAAAATTAGCCTTAATTAAGACCCCGTCCACCCCGAGGTGCAGGGGACAGGGCAAGGCACACAGGTAAAAAAATAAGCTAGGGTGGGGATGGGGGGGTGGAGTTGCCCTACTTACCAGGCCTCGCACACCCCGACAACTGCCTCACCTTCTTCTGCAGCAGCTTCTTCTATGGCTGCTTGCCACCACTCACACGCATTGCCCTTGCCTCCGTTTTGCCTTTAGATGCCTGCCAGAAGGCATATGCAGCCGATAACAGAGCTCCGGATCAATCCGGAGTGGGCCAGCAGCGGGGTCCTGCTGGGCAAGGCTTTTGATGCCACCGCCGCGAAGTGAGTCAATAATTAGAACCCTCCAAAAAGAAGGCCTAGCCGTTTTTTCGGGGGTCAAAAGAAAATAAGACCTGGCCTTATTTTTGGAGAGAAACAGTATTTCTGCAGTACCCTCTCTTAACTGGTAATAATTTGGGATCTCTTCTTAGGTTTCAGAGTCCACTTTCAAAAAATGCAAGGCATCTCTGACTTGAAAATGCTCGAGACTATTCACTCAAATACCACATGTAGTATCTTAATGATGCAAACTCATAAAGAAGACATAGCTAATCTGCCATGTTAGCAATGAGAATTTCCTGTTGTACTACCATCCGGAATCATATGGGCCGTTCCTAAGGCTAGTTACAAACATCCCCATAGTGGAATAATTTAATCTCAGATACGCTTCAGAATATAATCCATCAATTTATTTCTACAAGAAGCTTTGATTCATCAGTAAATGGCTAATCTTAAGGAATGAGAACACGGGATGCTAATATCCTTGGACAAATCTGCAAAAAATAGCATTAATTGTTCATGCTGTGATCAGAAAACCAGAACAAATATTATTCCTTCTTCTACATGAGAAAAAGTACCATATTAGTCTTCTTGCCAAGCAATTTTTTAAAAAATGTATGTATTACAGTATTTCAAGTAAGTTTTCAGACATTCTAAATCATTGAAAATACAAAAGGCTTTAAAATACTTCACATACGAAAAATAGAGAAAAAAAACTTACGGGTATTGAAAACTCTTCAGCCAAGTATTTCAATATTGAAGCTTCTTTAGTCAATAAATTGCTTCGTTCTTTCAGGTTACCTTGACGCTTTGTATCAAATTCTTTTCTGACTACTGAAGCAACAGAGTCAACTATTATTAGTTTAACGTTCTTAGAAATTATTTCTTCTTCCAAAGATTTAATTCTGGGGGGAAGAAAGAATAACCCAAATAACAATTGTAGAATTTGGTATAAATATCTACATATCTTTCTAGATTCTAATTGCAAATGGATCTTGATTGATTTTGAAAGGCTGAAGCAGGGCTGAACCTGATCAGTAACTGAAAGAGAGATTTTCAGGAAATCCTAAATCCAAATTAGGCTAGGAAATTGAAATTGAAAAGGCATTCTTGAAGTTAACGTTAAATTGTTGCTCAAAAACAAATAGATATGTTGGTATAATATTTTTTAAATCAAGTAACACTTTGTAGCATGATTATTCTATAAACTCCGTAAGTGTGCACAGATACTTTGTTGCCTTGAAACAATCTCAATTTCTTCACATCAGTAAATTAAGCACCATATCTGCATATGAATGCATGTATATACATTCATATGCCACGGTGGCGCAGTGGTTAGAATGCAGTACTGCAGGATACTTCTGCTGACTCCAGCTGACTGCAATTTGGCAGATTGAACCTCACCAGGCTCAAGGTTGACTCAGCCTTCCATCCTTCCAAGATGGCTAAAATGAGGACCCAGATTGTTGGGTCAATTTGCTGACTCAGGGCTGTAAAAGCACTCTGAAGCAGTATAGAAGTCTAAGTACTATTGCTATTGCTATATGTACCCGAGGCCTCCAGTTTAAATAAACAATCCCCCACTTCTGCATGTCCAACAGGTAAAAGATAACAGTTTCCCTTGTCCAGTCATATCTGACTCTAGGGGGCAGTGCTCATCTCTAATTCTAAGTCAAGGGAGCAGTGTTGTCCAAAGACATGCCCAGCATTATAGTTAAGGCACATGGAACGCTTTATCGCCCCACGAAATACCACCTATTTATCTACTTGTATTTACATGTTTTCAAACTGCTAAGTGGGCAGGAATTGAGAAAGTAACAGGAGCTCACCCTGCTGCATGGCACTTGGGTCTCAAACTGGTCTATCAGCTTTCCAGTTGACAAGCTCAGCATCTTTAACCGCTGAGTCATCGCATCCCCTTGTCCAACAGGTAACTGCAGCCAATATCAGAAAGTGTACTTCCGTGGCATATGCGTTTGCAAATGTTTGTTACTTTTATATTTTAATATGTACATTTTGAAATCCTAATGCAGTTGTTTGCGTCTGAATGGCATATTATCTGTTTTACTACAGAAAAGTCCAACCACTGAATCTGCATATATGCATATCTTGTAATTTTTATTAATATCATTCTGGCAACTTACTAAAGATTTTATTTTATTATGGAAGTAATAAGAACATAAACTTGAAGGCTGCCACAAAAGAGATCCTTTATATTAACAGGGGATTCAATTACCTACTACTACTACTACTAATTTGTGCCTTCTATTGAGTAATTTAAAAAGGAATTCCTACCATGGAACTATGGTTACACATTATTGAAATTCACCTTGCCAAGTCAATTCCAACAAGAGATATTTAAGCTGAACAATTTGTTAACCGGTACTGTGACCCAGTCATGCAACAGTCTCATTTCAAGAATGATAAGTAGAATAGTACCACAAGTATATTTTAGTGATTTTTCTCCAATACTACCTGACATTTATAGCTTTTGAAAAAACTCAGTCAGCTAATTTTAACACAAAGAATCTGTCTGAGATTTTCTGTTACCCTGTTTCCCCCCAAATAAGACGTCTCCTGATATTAAGCCCAATCGGGATTTTGAGTGCATGGCAATAAGGCCAAGCGCTTATTTCGGGGTTCAAAAAAATATAAGACAGGATCTTATTTTCGGGGAAACACAATATTATATTATTGACTTCATTCTAGTGATCTTAAGTCTTAGAGTACTTAATCCCTGTGTAATCTTTCATTAGAAGCTTATATTTGCACTTGAACTCAGATTTTATTTTGCATGTATTTTTGTTATTGTGTCATTCCAGAGCCAAGTTCTGTATTTGGAATCAACTGAGACTTATTTGATCCTATGGCCAATTCCTCATAATTCAGTACTTTCCTAGAAATTTTTCTACTTTACTACAAATAGTATTCCATGAATGTTCCTATCTTCAACATGAATCATCTTGTTCTTATTGCCATTTGCCCAGAGAAAGATCCAGCCTATCTTTCATACTCAGATAATTTTATCCAGTGATGAAGCTCCCAAGGCTACAAATAATAATTTTAACTTGGACATATCATCCTGGGCTCTCTCTACATACTTCCTTTCTATTAATCATTGCAATAATGTTGGTTACGGTGTTACCCAAATCAATTGTAACAGCAATTGTAAATTGTAAAACTATTGCCTTGAAAATGTATTCCTAAAACTTATATATTACAATTTGGCCCAAAATTCTATTTATGTGCACAGTATCCATAAGTCTCTCACACATCTTAGATTTAAGTTCATTATTTAAAAATTGAAGCTCAACTTGGAAAACATTAAATAATGTTATCTTAGTAGCTACTTAGATAAATAAATACATAGAAATGAAAAAATCTTTAAATGAGTTTTATAAGCATAGTTTAGAAAAAGAGGTAAGTCAGATATTTGGATTTTTACTTTGTTATCTTGATTTTCTAGTTTGATACAAGTTTTTTGCATCTTAAGGTTTTTGTTATTGGTTTGTTTTTAAATAATTTAATATATTATTTCATTTGTTTCTTTACCTTATTTGTTATATTTATAAGGGACTACTTATCTACACATTGGGGCAGCCTACAAATCTTATAATTAAACAAATATTGCTTTATTTTAAATATAGTACATATTGCTATTATTACACATACTGTAGGTTTTATACTATACTATGGCTTTCTTTTTTTAAAGAAACATTAATTGTAATGTTTTTGAAGTTTAAATAAAAGTAATAAGAAGTCCTACAAAGAAATGACATTGCACATCAAGAGAGGTGTGAAATAACAGTCTATCTGGATCACCTACTTAAAAAAATATGCCTAAGAAAATGCTTCCCCAACATATAAAATCCTCAATACTGCTGTTTTCTGTAGGTCAAAAAAGTAAGATAGAACATATTTTTTAAAAAATGTTTTAGCAGACTGTCATTCACTAAGGATATGGAGATATACTGTATTATTTAGGTCTATTCATATGTAAGAAGACTCCTGCAAATCCCTTGGACTGCAAGGTGATCAAACCAGTCAGTCCTAGAAGAGATCAACCCTGACTGCTCTTTAGAAGGCCAGATCCTGAAGATGAAACTCAAATACTTTGGCTACCTAATGAGAAGGAAGGACTCACTGGAGAAGAACCTAATGCTGGGAAAGATTGAGGGCAAAAGAAGAAAGGGACGACAAAGAATGAGGTGGCTGGATGGAGTCACTGAAGCAGTAGGTGTGAGCTTAAATGGACTCCAGAGGATGGTAGAGGACAGGAAGGCCTGGAGGAAAGTTGTCCATGGGGTTGCGATGGGTCGGACATGACTTCGCAACTAACAACAATTCATATGTATGTGTGCCTGTGTAAGTTGTATGTGTGTATGTGTTTGTGTGTGTGTGTGTGTGTGTGCACGCGCATATGTGTTTATGTCTGTTTGTATGTATGTGTTATATCCAAATATAACAGTAAGGGTTCAGATATTAATTGGCTTTCATATTCTATATTAAATGTTTTACACACTGTGCTGCCCTCAAGAGAGAGTTTGCTTACCTTTTTAGTACGCTATCACAGGTTAGCTCCTGATAGACAAGAACCTTGTTTGTCATTGCAATCAGCTTTTCTTCTGTAGCAAAATAATGTGGGAATTGATGCTGTGCTATTTCAACAAGCCTGTTTGGGGCCGAAAGAAAATTACTGAGAAAGGATAACCATTGATTATCAGAAATCAATTGAACATGAAAGAAATTATCTATGCAGAAAATTTCAATGAAAAGTAAACACAAATTGATAAACAATGTATATATTTGATTCTTTCTCATATTTTTCAACATGTCTTTAAATACATCCCACCCCAAATTTTTGTGAAATTCATACTAAACAGCATATTCTGATTCTCAAGAATAGCAATAAATACAGATGAATAACGAAGAGCAGATAGCTATAAATATCCCCTCGTTTTTCCAATTATCCACCTGATCAACTAGCTTGCCAGAATTAGATCACCTATCACTCAGGAAGACCAGACCTGCTAGATCACTGACAGAGGAAGAGAACTACCTCTAACACTAAAAGCAGAAATAACTACCAAGAGATTCCCTATTATGTGGAAAACTCGTTGCACCAATGTCTTCTGCTGCCGGTTCTTCATTTTTCACTAACTACAGAGATACAGAGAGAGAAAGAGAGAGAGAGAGAGAGAGAGAAGTAGGAATCATAAATGGAAAAGTCAGAGGCTTAACCTCTTTGAAAGTGAGCAATGGAACACTTATGTACCCATCACAGAAAGGCCAAGTGGAAGAAACACAAAGGAGCAGCATTTAATGACAATCTTAACAATTATTTCGGAATGAACTTTCAGTCCTAAACTAAATTACATAAATGATTAAAAACTTAACAAATATTTCTTCTCTTTTAACAAATATACTCAAATGCATTCACAAATTGTCAGTAATCTGGTGACATTATCCTTACGAGGATTGGAAACGAGAATGCTGTAGATGCTCATAATAGATTCATTATTAAATTCAACTGGATCAGGACTGCACTCTAGTGGGAATTTCACTGAATTATTAGCATTAGAAAAGCAATGTTTTCTTTTAATTTATAAATTATTTTAACTTTATTTTTTAACTGTGATGTTTGTATAGATGTTTTTTATCTGGCTGTTCACCGCCCTGAGTCCGAAAGGAGAAGGGCGGTATAGAAATTCGAATAAATGAAATGAAATGAAATAATGCCGATGGGAGGTAAGTTCCAAAATAATACAGCTGGCTATTTTTGCAAAAGAGTGTTGGACTGTACAAAATCTGGTCTCTATGTTTGGAGGTGGCAAAATATGTAATTGGGCAGAGGGAAGAGAGACAACACTGGAATTTGACTTAGATCTTTCATCACCTTCAAAACAACACTATGGCACTTGAACTAATTCCAGGCTGCATGTGCACTATATATGTAATGAAACATGTCTTCTAAAGCTGTGAATACTTTTTTGTATCAGTCTTTACCTTTCAGCAGTAAATGCAGACTCTGTATCAATGTAAATAACTGCCCCATTCAATCCTCCCATGTTAGTGGGCATTGTGGCCAGCAAGCTCATCATAATACAGAACTGAGTTTTGCCACAACCTGATGGACCCGTTATCTAATAACAGAAATAGGCACAAACAGCATTATAATCTTTCTGTAAACCTGCAGTTACTGTTTTTAATTTTAGACTCCACATCACATTACTTCAGTAGTATCATGTATTTTTACAATACCATGTTTCAGGTTGATTTAAAAAATAGCAAAAGTAATAGATTTTGAGATAACAGATTTTGAGAATATGATGCAATGTCCAAATATGTATTCTTAAAACCATACATGTTTATTTTTCAAAGCATATATGTTTAAAACATCCATTTCTTTCAAATAAAATATAGTAATGCTATACCAAATAATTTAAAGGCATGATATAAGAAAAGATAAGGAAACAGTCAAATCTAGTTTATATTAACACCATTCATTATACCTTTTAGGGTTCTCCAGACATATCCAACCCTTATAATATAATATATAATAAAATAAACAAAAGTACATTCATAGACATAGCTAGTTTTACTTCTGTTAACCCACATATATTCCTTGAACAAACCACATTCTACTAATACATTTCCACCAAATTTTGCATAACTTAGACTATAATAGCAAAATTAATATGTAACATATATACAAAACAATAAAACCGTTATGATGCCTATAATTTCAATCCCTCAAACCTTTACTTGCCTTTGTAAGGCTATGAGATTGGGGCAGAGGAGGGGCAGGCCATCTCAAAGAAGGGGAGCTCAAAAAGAGACTGTTTCCTCTCATATCTTCTCACCACCACACCTCGAGTTAGGATTCCTGGTCTGGATTTGGTAGGTTAGACTGTCTCTTTGATACCTAAAGTCTGAGCCATATCTCATGACAAGGAAGAAACTTTCAGAAAGCTGCACTGTGGTTAGTACTATATCCATGGAGCAACTTTTGCAGCTTTCTGAATGTTTTGATTCTGTTTCAAATTTGTAACTAAATGAATGCAATTATCACGATATTTTTACCATCTAAATTCTATTTGCATTTTGCTATTCTTATGGATCTCAGACATCTTTTCCTCTCTTTTCCCTAGTACAATAATTACTACTTACAACACAGGTTAAGACCTTGTATGCTTAGATGATGGTTCAAGTCTTAAGTCCAATACAGTGAATGATTGAAGTATTAGTAACATATGGAAAAATATAACATTTCCAACTGAGATGGTTAAATTTTGGAGGCTGAAAATTCAATAAAAGTTATTTCCTCATTTTTCCCATGGGCTTTTGTTTCTTGTTTTCCCCCAAAGTACTGAAAGGGGGGTTATAAACTTTTTTTTAAAAAAAAAAAAACCTCAGAATAACATGATTATGAAATACAAACATACATTGCTTGGAATAGCTGCCAGAATTTAGCTCATTTGGGATGTTTTCTTTAACTTTAACTTAAGAATGCAGCCTTGCCAGAAACAACAGAACTGTTATCAGAAACGCTCCTCTTGACAAAGTATATAATCAAATGTACAAAACAAAACAGCTTCACCACACAATCCCAGTCCACTGTGTCTGCCTGGCCTTACTCTATCACAGCCATCAAAATCAATCTAGTGATTGATTGCTCAACTTGGAAACTCCCACAGACTATTGACGGGAACATAAACATAGATTTCTCATAAGCATATTTTTTCTTCTTTCCGGAGTTAATTAAACCATGTTGGGGGTGTTACTTGGAACCCTGACAGCTTGCTTGCTTTCATTATAGGATGCTAATCTTTCCGATCTAAACATTAAAGCTTTTTATCAAATATCAGTCCTTATTTATTTATTTATTTGATTTATATGCCGACCACATCACCTGGTGGCGACTCTAGGTGGTTTACAATCGGTAAGCATTAAATATTAAAACAATAAATATTAACATTAAAGTGGAGTTAAAATGAACAAAGGAAGGAAGGAAGGGAGCAAGATAAACATGGGGAGAAGGTGGGATTTTAACTTAACCCATTAACCACCTGCAGGATGACACATGCCCAATTGGCCCATATTGGCATGTATTCACAAACTTTGCAAACCATATGCATCTTAAGTTTTATCATCAATGAAAATTTATTTCTGTATTATTTTCAAAACCAGTTTATTGGTTTATATTTTTTATTAACAAATATTTGTGTATTTGTATCATCTCACATTTTGGCAGAAACTATTACAGAAAGTATTACTATTACTAATTGATTTCAATGTGAGCGTGGCTTAACTCTCTCCCACAAAAATCTGACTGAGTATATTCTTTCATTTAGAAACTGATGGAATGAACAGAAAAAGAGAGAAAAATGTTGAAAATGTCATCCCATCATGGCTGAGAATTCATTGAAGATATCTTGCTCTATTTTTAATCTGAAGTTAGGTACAAAATGCCTCCCTACAGTAACAACATTTAACTTTTTCTTTATAGAAAGAATGCCACTTTTCATGTAATGGTTCGTTATTTTCAAGACAAACAATGAATAATCACAAAAAGGTATGATTCAATTCCTTGTTTAAATGGTTTTTTTTAAACATGCTGGGGAATTAGTGCCAGAACATTTTTCTGACTCTCAGAGAACCAGGATAAGAACTGGCAATAGGGAAAAAGTATATCCAAGTCCCAACTTTCCAACCACATCATCAGTCATAAAAATGAACAGCAATTTTTTTCAGCATCAGTTCTTTAAATAAAGCCACAAAAGTATGGAATAAAAAAACCTCTTCTTTTGTGATAAAACTGCAGTCTAGGTATTGACTCCTATGTTTTAGAATAGGTAACTAAAGCAGAGAATAACCACAACTGATGAGGCTATAAAGACCTGGATGAGACAAAACACAACCTGGTCCTAGTAGTTACTCTGCATGTGGTTGCAGAGTTTCCCGCATAGAAGGTGGTTCACAATTTGGAAGTGCTCCTGAATCTATCACTCCTGCTCAAACAGGCGACAGAAGTTATAGCTGAGGAGATTATGTCTGCCTTCAGTTGATTCATCAGTTTTAAACCAACCAGGAGCAGAAGGGCCCAAACTTAATCACCACTTGACTAGACTATTGCAGTGCCCTCTATCTGGGGCTGTCTTTGGAGACAACTCAGAAGCCACAGCTGGTAAAAAAAAAAAAATGCAATGGCATGTTTATTGTCATGATACTACCAATATCATATAAATTGCATAGGTAATACAAAGTCATTGCAATGGTTATTAGTAGACTTCCACATCCAATTCAACATGCTGATTATTATTTCTAAAGTTCTAAATGGTGGCGTAGCAGGGAACATCAGGCAACACTGAATCTGCTGGTGTCCTATGGTCAAAGAGAGAAGGCCAGCTAAAAGATCCCTCCCTTCATGAGATCTGTGAGCCAGGGTGGGAGCAGTAGGCCTTCTTTTTTAACAACCCCCACCTTATGGAACACTCTCCCCAGGAAATACATTCAATTCTCCCACCTTGCCACAGTTCCAGAAACATCTTAAAATTGTTCTATTTCAATCTGCTTTTGTCCATGTTGACTGTGGCACCTATCTGGCATTTTATTTGGGGCTTGCCTTTATTTTTCCTGATTATGTTTTGGTTTTGACACTTTAAAAAAAATCGAGTATTTATTATTCTATGTGTTTTTTACGGCCGATGCTGTATACCGTCTGGAGTACTTTGAGATAGTATAATGATATGTGGGAATGACCTTCATGGCTCATATTTTAACACCATAAATGAATATTCACTGAAAATATATTAAATAAACAGATAGAAGTAAGTTTAGCTAAATGTCCACCTTTTACCTCTGTAAGACTGCCACAGGCAATTCCACCATGCAATATTTTATCCAGATCTTCTAGACTTGTTGCCAAGAATGCTGTTGAAGGATTGTTGGTTCTTTTCATTTTCATTTCATAAGCCTAAAACAAGGAATCATTTTAAAAGATGCTATATATAATTGTTAAGAAAACTGCTTAGTATAACTTTCGTTCAAAAGTACAACTGCTGTGTTTTGCTTACCAAAATATAGAAGAAAATTCCTTGTAGGTTTTTAATTTATTTTCTTGTCTTCATTAAGATTTCCCCAAGTTTTCTGACCAAAGATAATATACAAGGCTAAAGTAGTTACAATATTTGTATAGTGCAAGCTTCAACTTTGATATTACAATGACATGTAAGTATACGTCTTTTCCTTCTTTGGAGAGTAAAAAGTTTAATTTGCATGATACAACTACAGAAGAAAATATTACCCTTTTGGTTAAAAATAGCTTGGAAGTCCACTCAATGATATCCCTGTCCAGGAAAATTGACTGGCTCTAAAGTCTGAGTTCTCTGAAAGTTTTACTGAAGTCCCTATGAAGAACTACTATGAGTTTTTATAAAGGAATTTATCCATGAATTTAAATAAGTACAAGATAGGGGGAAGTTCAGGCTTTTTAATAGTTTGCTTTTCCTCAAGAGATTAGAGTTATTTGAAATGCTTCCACTTAAAAGTGGGTGAACCAGATTTACAGTAACCACATATTTGATATTTTATTTCACTATCTACCTAAAATTGTTTCCTTGCCTGTCATTGCTATTTCAGACTCATCAGTGTGTCTGTATAGTAGGTATTTTGTTGACCCCATCAGTATCACTGTACACTACTTTAGGCTAAGGGGAATTTGCCATTTTAATCCCAATTCCACTAGTTTGCAATGATACTTTTGGACTTCTTCATGACATATGATAATGATATGACATGACATGACATGACATGAATACACACATAGATAGACATAAATGCACATTATTCCATTAAAGGTAAGCTCTTTTATGCAAAATGCGGAGAAACAGAAAAAATACTACACCTAAGAAATTAAAGACACAAGAAACAGAAATGAAAAGATAGCTAAATCCGTTTCACAATGCCATTCATTGTATTTCTATACTTGCAAAGTTCTGCCATACCCTCCCACTTCTTCATGCCTTGCTTTCTGTATGTTAAACCTACTAGCTTTCCCTTTTTCAGAATCTCATCAGTTCTTTTAAATCAAAAATTTTTTCAGTCCTCTTCTTCCTGCCAACCCATTCAATCTTCTTTTGTGCCATTCATTTAGTAATTCTAACTTCATTCACTCTATATATGCATAAGCAAACCATTGAAATCTACTTATTTTGAACTGGATTAACAATTGGACAATTGGATTGGCTAAACTCAATTTTAGCCACCATAAATGATTTAATGTTTGGCAGAGGACTTAAATGCTATCACAAAATCAGTTCTAAATTAAAAAGCAACAGTCCCCCATATAGAACCATAAGTGCTGGTCATTCAGTTTAAACAGCAGTCCATTCTTTAAGCAGCCACCAAACTCAAAAGCATATCTAATCTCATACTATGATAGGATTGTTTGAAGTTATGACAAGGGACTTAGTTCAAATCCAAATCAATGATGTTCAGCAGGTCACCTAAGCCAGGTACTTGATAACACTCAAAGAATTCTAAGACTGGTGAGAAGGATTTATCTTTGTACTATAGAAACCAAGTTGCTTCCTTTTGAACAAGATATATTCTTTCATATAGTAATTTGGTTCTGAATGAGAAATTTCTGCTAATTTACCCAGAATCTTTTAGTATCTTGTATCTCCATTCTTACCACAATTACTGGATCCCAAAATTGACTTTATTACTCCCCAAACGTTTGGTGGTATAGGCAATTTTTTTTTAAAAAAAAGATCAAGGATATCCATCCATCTATCCATCTATCCATCTATCCATCCATCCATCCATCCATCCATCCATCCATCTATCTATCTATCTATCTATCTATCTATCTATCTATCTATCTAGGGGGATAGCATAGTGATTGATACCACCTTTGACACTGGAGAGCAGGGTCCTGGCAGGTACCTACCTTACTATTATGGGTCCTTGGGCAAAGATTCCCTACCTCAAAATATGAGAGTAACATAATCTAGGAGAGTTATACCAGCTCAGATATTGTCCAGGTGAGTAAAATCTGTGTCAGATGTTGAAGAACCAGAACAACCTGATAAGTGTACTGGAACAAACCATACATGGATAAGACAAGAGAACTTGGAATTGATAGGATGTTTCTACAACAGCTGACTTAATGATAGGCGGGGGGGTGGTATATGAAATGTATGTATGAACTTTGGATGGACAGGCAATCTGCATCCACACTAACGGAGAAACAGCTAGTTACTCAACACTTCAACATAGTAAAGTGGAAGCTGCTCTCATAGCAATAGACCAACTACACATTACATCCCAGACTCAAGAACTTAAGAAGACATTGAACAACAATTGGCTCTGCAGCCAACACCTGAAGCTGACACATCATTACTTTCCATTACACAGCACAGCTGCTGATATTAGACATAAGATCATCTATAAACTAGCTAAAGTTGACCCTCAAAATGGGTTACCATGCTCAGTAGAGAAGTACCATTAGACCAGGGATGTCAAACTCACATTGTCATGGCGTCGTCACATGACGTATCGGGACTTTTTCCCCCTTCGCTAAACCAGGCGGGGGCGAAGCCAGCATGTGACACATCCAGCCCGCAGACTGCAAGTTTGACACCCCTGCATTAAACAGTATGCTAGAAGATGCATTAGCATTCAAATCAAACAACTGGTCTATGTTACAGCTGCAGTAATCCTGGAGATGCATGGTTACACAATCAAGAACAGCAGTACATAACCCACCCCTCCAGAAAATAAGGCTAAGGAATAAGATCAAGGCAACTTGGAGAGAGATTAGGCAGCTGGTGGAATAACAGAAGGGTGTGAAGATTAAAGTTAGAACTTTGTGATTTTTCCCCCTACCCTGATTTGTGAAAGAATACCTACCGTTTGCATTTTGGGAGCACAGGATTGGCTGACAGTCCGAAAAAGTTTCTGGACACTCCAATAGCTCTGTCCAGTCATTTTCATTAATTCCAGGAAGGAAAGACATAAGAAGTCCTGCAACAAGCATTAAGTACATGCTTTACATATGCTCAAAGCTACACACTTCAAGTACTGTCTCATTTATGATATATTTTTCTTCATAAAAGAACTTTTCTTACCCGGCAAGTAGTAATCTGATGTCGACTTAGTCTCTCACAAAGATCATGAGGTAAACCTGCTCTTCTTAGCTTTTTATTTGCCATGTTCACATATTTATTGGCCCAAAAGTTAATTCTATAACCAATTGACAAAGAAATAGTATTAATTCAGAATCTACAGTTAAGAATACAATCATTTTTCATTGTATTAAATAGTACAATGTGTGCTGAACAAACATATATTCAACTCAGTGTATTCAACTTGCAGTTCAGTAACAGTTCCTGCTCTTTCTATCATGATTTTCTGTGTAATATCCCTTTTAAGATTTTTTATTCTTCCTCAGTTTGCATTATTCAGGGTGCAAGCAAAGACAAGTGTCTTTTTTTTTCTTGTAGTCTAGCATATTCTAGTAAACTGCCTTCACTTCAGGATTCTTCAGTTTACACTGTTTCAAAACGAAAGTCACTATAATTTGGATTACACCAGATGTCTGGAATTGGATCTATAAAGGACTGACTGACTACTGGCCTTGCTGCTAAAAATCATAGTTTAAATCAGATATGGGCAATTTATTTTCCAAAGGAGCCACCTGAGAAACTGGAACTGTTGTGGAGAGGTCTACCACTGTAACCAGACTTGACATCCTCAAACTTTGCCACCTCAACTACTCAGGCTTCTCTAGGTGAGAGACGAGCGCTGCACAGGTACAGAAAAGCCATTTCTCTCCTTGTTCTTTCATAGCTGCCAACACGCTGAAGGAGCACACAGCGACTGCTACAGAACTAGACCCAACTCAGCTTCTTGTTCTGCTCCTTGCAGCACCCTTATTTATATTTGATTTCTAATTTACGACTGACCTCTGACAGACTGGACTGGCGCCAAAGGGCCAGATGTAGTCTGGGGGACATAAAATGCCCAGGTCCGATTTAAATCATTCGGAAGGCAACCTGTTACCCTACCCTGTACCACAATTAACAGTTGAAATTGGTCAGGTTCTGTTACAAGCAACAACTTGGAACACAATGTATTGATGCTAGACATACAGTAAATTCATTCTGAACAAAGCTGGCATGGTCTGAACCTTCTTTAATCCACACAATTCTTATATTTGGTAGCCCATGATATTGAGGAAAACAAATCATTTGTAAATAAATAATCCACATTCTACTAATTCTTTACCCCTCTTACCTGGGTGACTTGAGAAAAGTCATATTGGGTAATGGTTTTACATCTTCCCCACCCCCCACCTGACCCCTATGAGATTTAGCCTCAAGTTGCACACCACTTTTATTTTCTGTGTCCACTAAAACCTATTTTTCACAGCCGTTTTTAAGCAGAACTAACTTTAGTTGTATTAGTTGAAAATACCTAGGTATTATTATACACTTGGAGACTGCAGCTAGGATCAATTTATCTACCTGTAATTCTTTTGACTTTAGGAAATTTTCAATCTTCCTTCTTCCTGCTGCCTAGCTTTTTAGTATTACTTATCTGATTTTATGTCTCTACTTTTAAAGTGCATTGTACTATATTTTAATTATGCTCTGCAACATTTTGGATGCTTTTCCTTGGCAGAAAAGCAGTTATATATACCAGAAGTAGGAAAATTCATTCAATCCATTAGAGGGCATTTGTTTCATAATAACCCATCCACCTAAACATTTCAATTCTTTATTTAATCTTTTGGAGAATAACTGAAGCCAGACTCTTACTAGTGATATTTGCTTCCTTCAAATCCTTGATATATTTTCCTTTAATCTCTCCTCTTGAAAGCAAAATTATTATTTTTTACAAAAATTACTCTGAGGAGAAAAAGTCAAAGGGAGCAAACTGGTTTTGGAATACAGCCTGTTGCAAAATGAGATGGTTTTTTTTGGGTCTAAAAATAATAAAATTAATTCTCTGCTCATTTTTCCCACATTGGAACTTGAGAGAAAATGCAAATTCTACCCAGCAGATGATGATGAAAAAATATCAAACCCAGCACTTTTTTCATCCCTTTATTTCAGGGGTGTCAAACTTATGTCGTCACGGTGGTGTCACATGATGTATTGGGACTTTTTCCCCCTTCGCTAAACCAGGCGTGGGCGTGGGCAGTGCATGACGCATCCAGCCCATGGGCCGGGAGTTTGACAGCCCTGCTTTATTTTTAAAGCCCCTTTTGGAAGATGTAAGAGATGAGAAGTGACTTTTTTTTCACTACACAAAGAATTATCTCCATCATCAACCAATACGTGAATTGAAAGACTCACAGGAAAAAAAATAGGACATCTGACCCATCTAGTCCACCACTTGATGAACTCAAAATAATAGTTAATATTACTATCCTCGATATATTCTCAAGCAATTGATATTCAGGGGTACATTGTCCCAATATGTAAAGCAATATAGAATCCTTATTGTTATGGATCTTCATACTCCATCTAACTCTTTTAGAACTATTCAAGTTCATGATCACCCAAATATTGCAGAACTTTCCAAGAGTTTAACTATATTCTATTGGAAGAGTTACATCCTTTATCCTACTTGAATCTCTTATTAATCACCATCATTGAATTACTTCAATTTTCTTTAACGCCCAACTATATTCAGCTCCATCAAGTCTCCTTCCCACTCACACTTTCTTCCCCCCACCCTTCCCCTAAAGTTCTTCTTGTCATTAGGCTACATTTTTCCCCCTAGAAAAAGCAGATCACATGGCCTGTGATCAAGTGACGCAGCAATTGGACAAGACCTTCACTGGGAGATCGGTTCCTGGGGCTGCGCAACTCTCTCTGTGTTTTGGAAGCGCTTAACTTTCACCAGGATAGAGCTGGTCCAATAGGTCTGAGCAAAAGCAGAGAAACAAGGAGGAGGACCCATCACCCAAGTGCTAAACAGCAACCGGATTCCCAGTGCCAGGGTAGCCCAACAACGCACGGAGAAGCATTCAGGGGCTGAGTATGCAGCCCGGAGAGGCAGCTACCCCACGCCCGCCCCGCAAACTTTGCGAGACCACGATGCATCCATGTTTGCACAAACGACCTAAAATAAAAGTCCAGCACCAAATAGCACCCTAGACCTTAAAGCGCACGGGTTCTTCTGTCTCCGTTATGGCGGGAAAAAGATGCAAAGATTTTTTACGATTCCCTCCCGCTTGCAGGAAAAAAAATTCTGCCCCCGTCGGCCTTACCCCGCCCAACCCCAAACCAAACCAAATCACCCATCCTAACCTGGACTCTTTTTCAAAGCCTCCCACTTCTCTACAGGAAACTTCCACGAAAGCGCAGCTCGCGTTATGATTGGCCTCCGACACCAGCGCTTCATCGCAACAAGTCTTCCGCGGTGAAAGGGATTCTGGGAATTATAGTTCGGCTTTGGTGGAGGAAGCGTCTTAAAAGTTAAATGCTTTCTGGATCTTTAGGAAAGGAGAAAGTACATTTAATGCAGTTTGTTTCTGCATGTGTTGTTCTTTTTTATATAACTCTGTGGGTAGATTATATGTGTGTGTATAGAAAACCCCCAAAACTTTAACCTTAAACTGTCTAAACCCAAACTCCCAAAACTTTTAACCTTAAACCAGTGGTTCTCAACTTTCCTAATGCCGCAACCTTTTAATACAGTTCCTCATGTTGTGGTGACCCCCAACATAAAATTATTCCTAAAACCACTGAAAATATGTGTTTTCCGATGGTCTTAAGCGACCCCTGTGAAAGGGTCGTTTGACCTCCAAAGGAGTCGTGACCCACAGGTTGAGAACCACAGCCTTAAACTATCTACTGTTGACCTCGAGCCATTCTTAAGAGATCTGTAAGGGACGTGCATAAGTGCACCAGCGTGCCTGCTGTCCTCGTCCTAATATTCCTTTTTACTTTTACTCTTTTCATGTATTCAAATTACGTTTATACTTTTACCTGGTATTTTATATATGCTTGACAAATATATAAAATAAATAAATAATAAATAAAGAGAACGTTTACTTTTGTTGTTGTCACGTTTCAAATCAGAGTTCACACGAAAATAATGCAGAGATTATTTTATTGCCATATGGGATGAAAACTAAAGTAGAAACACCATGTTAACACATTAAGATGTTGAGGCCTTGGAAAAAGTTCAGAGAAGATGATCAAAGGACTGGAGACTAACAGATGCAGAATGGTTGCGGGATTTGGGTTTGGCTAGTTAGTCTAAAGAAAAAAAGAATTAGGGACGACATGATAACAGTATTCCAGTATTTGAGAGGTTGCCACAAAATTATCCTACAAAGCACCAGAGGGCGGGGGAAGAAACAATGGTTGGAAACTAACCAGAAAGAGAAGCAACCTGGAACTATGGAGAAACTTCCTAACAGTGAGGACAATTAACCAGTGGAATAGCTTGCCTTCAGAAATCATGGGTGCTTCATCACTGGAGATTTTTAAGAAGAGACTAGACTAGCCACTTATCTCAAATAGTATAGGTTCTCCTGCTTGAGCAGGAGACTTAGAAGACTTCCAAGGCAGTGTGAAATCCAATTTTTTTTACTACCTGTTCTGTCGGTGTGGTGTGGCTTGGTGGGTGTGGCAGAGGAAGGATACTGTGAAATCTCCATTCCCATCCCATCCCACTCCAGGGGAAGGATACTGCAAAATCTCCATTCCTACCCCACTCCAGGGGAAGGATACTGCAAAATCCCCATTCCCTCCCCAGTGTGGGGCCAGCCAGAGGTGGTGTTTGCCGGTTCTCCGAACTACTCAAAATTTCCGCTACCGGTTCTCCAGAACCTGTCAGAACCTGCTGGATTTCACCCCTGCTCCAAGGTCCCTTCCTATTCTATTCTGTTCTGTTCTGTTCTGTTCTGTTCTATTCTAAAGTCAACTGTGTTCATTTTAATTATGGTGTTTTTTTTTATGGATTAACATAGTTGAATAAGGGCAGCCTCTTTGATTAGTTTAAGGTTTGGTTAAGTTTAAGGTGCAGTGTATTCAACTCCAGTAAGCAAATTAAGCATGTTAGTATGCACAAAAATGGAAGGAGATTGTGATTCCCACAATGGATGAATGGCTGCAGAAGTTGATGGAGTTAGCAGTAATGGCTAAATTGATTGCTTCGATTAAAGAAAAGAATACAGTTTTGTTTCTACTTGAAAACCACTTTTCGACTTTGTGCTTGAGGTGGTATAAAAATGAAAGCTTTTATTTTGGTTTTTGCTGATTAAATAAGTTTGTTCTTATATAAATGGCTAGGATATATTATTATGTGAAAGAAAGAAAATTGAGGTTTTATGTTATTATCTTATTCTATTGCACCAAAGAAGTCGGAAGTCAACACTTTTTTTTTCTTTCACCCCTCTACCCTACACTTTTTTCTCTTCCCTTTTCCCTCCCATATTTTACCCTTATTTTTACTTTTATTTATATTTCTGTATTTTATATTTTGATATATTAATAAATAAACCTAAAAAAAAATCTAACCTGAACCTGCTAGTGATATGAAATATCGCCAGCAGAGGGTAGTAGCACATAGATAAACTATGGTAGCTTAATAGTAGATTAAAATGCATGAAACAATTGATTCCACTAATGAACAAAGATCAGAAATGTGCCATCACATATTCTGTAAGAAAAAAACAGCTGTATCCCACTTTGCTCTTCTTGTGTATATATATATATATGAAAATTATTACCCAAATTACTAACTAAATTGGTTTAAAGCATTTTTTATTCTTTCCAGTATTTGTGATTGACCATTTTGGAATGCATATAGTATGGCTTTCTCTCAAACACCACGTAGAGTGAAGGGTCATTCAAACAAAAATAAAATTGGGCTCTTTACTACTTTCTACCTACAGTATATACTAGTAAAACTGTCATGACAATAACCTTTAACTAGGTGAAACAGTGCAACATAGGACATCAATTTTTGAACCAAGGTATCTAAAATGGGATAATTTAAAGAATGTGTCCAAAATCCAGGACCCATGACTCCTGTGGAATTTAAATTTGACAAACTTGTGGTTACCAATACTTCAGAGCTATCAAGCTACTGTCCAGTGGTTCAGTAGACAGGTCCCACTCTAGCCCTCCAGAGGTCAGGAGGACCAGCACCTCCTTTGACTATCCCAGGATCATCAGCTATATTCAAACAGGAAGGAAGTCAGAAGTCATTCCTACTTCCACTGCTTCTTTGTCCTTGGTCATTCTGTTTCTCTGTTTAGGCAAGGAGATAACTCTGAAACAATGACCAAGAGATTCATGGGTTGTCTAGTTAGTCCTAAATCTCTCTTCCTCAATGACATGTAAACCTGTGAACTAATTATATAAATAGATTATATGCAGAAAATGTTAGGAGTGTTGTATGATTTACTTATAAGGCCTGTTTCTACCAGGTCAAGTTTGTTGATACATCTAAGCTAGCTTTGTCCAGTTTGAATGGTAGCAGCTTCCCAGGTTCAAGGAAATATGTTCCTTGTCATTTATTATTGAGTCCTTTAACAAGAGACTCCAGTGAAGCTGGGTTGTTAATCTGAGAAATGGAGTTAGAAAGATTTCAGTTTTTATATAGTCCAGAAAAAAACATCTTCCTAGAATCAACCCACTGGGCCAAATGCCATTACTACTAATGAAAATGAGCATTTTTTCCTTACAAGAGAAGCAGAATATGCAATTCAGGCAACTGACCAGATAATAAAATGGAAGTTATCTGTAGTATAGATGTCACCAAAACTATTATCTCATCTACTGGGCTTTTGGGTGCACATAAGTGAATGATCCAAATTATAACTGGTGGGCTCTTCTACTAGGGCAGGGGTCTGCAACCTTAAACACTCAAAGAGCCATTTGGACCCGTTTCCCACAGAAAAGAAAACACCGGGAGTGTCAGATGTAAATGCCTTATTCTATAATGTGTAAATAGTATATGAATGGGATATCAGGAGTTAACTTATCCTTCTATTCTTAATGTATTCATATTTCACCACTCCCTCATATAGCTCCACCCACTGTATATATAAGGAACCACCTTCACCCTTTTCCTTGCTTCTATCTGTGAATATTCAGTGAATATAGAATGCCTATTGTAAATAAAAGGAAGTATATTTAAACCTTTAACTCTTACTATTATTATTGAGTCTGATCCTAAAAATATTGCAACAAGCTGGTAGCAGAGGATGGTTAATTGACTCAATAAAATAAACATGTATAAGAAAGAAATAGAAAGCAACAATCTCAGATCAGAGATACTGAGAATACTAAAAAAACAAAAGGATGACTACGATCTCATCGCGGACCTTCAAAACTTCTTGAAAGAAAACAAAGCAGCGAGAGAAAATAACATCGAGACAACTGAATTCAAAGAATCAAAAATGGTGAGCAAACCATCTATAAAAGAAAAAATAACAAGAAGAAAGAACAGAGATCCCGCTCAAAATTTCGAATGGCAGCCATCTTGTCTTCAACCGGTCACTGAGACAAACAAGGCAGAGCCAATCACAATACACCATTCAAAATCTCTGGCGCGAAAAGAATCACACAGTACAGAAAATAGTAAAGAAAATCTTTATTCTTCAGAAGAATCAAATACGGACGCAGAAGAAACATCTATTAAACTGAAAGTCGAAGCAATCAAGAAACAACTACTTAAAACTTTTGATCCAAATTTAAAAATGGCAAAAAAATCAACGGAAGTCAATGACCCAAAAACAAAAAGACAAGCAAGCAAACAGACAAACCAGAACATATCCAGATCAACTCGTGCAGAAAGGATGACAACACCTGAGCCCAGAGGACCCTGCAGGTTTTCTCCCATGCCGCAGACGGTTCCAGAGGTGGAGAGCTTCAAGCGGAGAGGTTTTGGCGAAAGGAGGCAAGCGTCAGCTATCGGCAAGAAGATCAAGGTAGAGACAGAGACCGAATCG